GTTATGGAGAGCTGTGAGAAGGGAAAGGGTTTTTAGGGACCCAGTAACCTACTTGTACCATGTTTTTGTATCTTTACTGTACGTCTGTAACGCTCCGCTCAACGGGCGGATTAACTGTCGTAGCAATCTTTGTCCAAATGAAACATTTCTTCTTGTTACTACATTCTCCGCCAAGTAAAATGTCCCTGTGACTGTTACACTCCTCCAACACACACATATCTCCCGCTGGGGTAAACTGCGCCGAGCGGTTGAATGCGCTTACTCGATCCGCCATGTTTATTGTTTTGAAAAGTGTCTTATTTTACCCAGAATGCACTGCAGTGTAGTCCTACTTAAGATAGTCAGAGTCTTTAGTGCTTTCTGATTTAGACGTCTATCTGAAGTCTGACTCTCTACTATATCTCAGCCGTAGTCAAAGTCTCTCTTTGTGAAACATCTGATTCACTGTGGTTCAAGATTGCTGGTGGCGTTTGCTAAGGTAAGCATCACTAGTGCTCATATTTGGGGTTAGGATCTAGATCAGACCCCTAACCGTGAGTATTACAGGGGTCATGACATGAGAAATCAAACTCGCTTTGATCTTTTGACATTTAGGAGGTCTTTGTACCATTAAATCAGCCGGCAAGATTCAGCGAGTAAAACTTTCTCATTATAAACACAGCATTTATTTAATCAAGCTCGCACGGGCAAATACATTTGCATATGACATCGGCGAATACTTTTACATCATCGCACCATAGGCCCCGCCCACTGGTCCCTTAACGGCTAACATTAGCCTTCACTGGATGAGAGCGTCGCGTTAAAAGTAGTGCTGTCAAACGATTAAAATATTTAATCGCGATTAATGTCATAGTTAACTCGCGATTATTCGCACATTTTTATCTGTTCTAAATGTCTCTTGATTTCTTTTTGTCCCATTATTTTTTCTCATTTTAATGCTCTTATTAACATGGAAAAGTGGATCGGCTTGCTTTGTGCAAATGTTTTTTATTGAAAACAACATTGTCATATACTGTGTTCAATTTCACACTAACATTCTCACTTGGAGGAAATAATCTCTCACACAATGTAACACTGTCCATCAATAAAAGGGTGAAAGAAATACTGACGAGGTCCTGATATTGACGAGGGGGCGGAGAATTCGCATCAGCTGTGTGTGTGTGTGTGTGTGTGTGTGTGTGTGTATGTGTGTGTGTGCCATCATCAAGTGGTGTTTCAGACTGGACGTGCTGCGATGATGATAGCTCAGTTCACAACGACTAAACACACAGATCACTTTGGTCTCGTCAATGGAACCATTTGGCAACTTTTTAAAAGTAAACTTTCCATTCAGAATCTTATTGGCATCCATTTCGGCGTCTCGCGCTCGTCATCCACTCAAAACGTAACGTTAACCTACTATTTGGCCGGCTCGCAAGCCCAAACAAGTGTGTGCGGCGTGCCTGCTGTTTTGTTTCCGGTCTAGCTAGATCCGCTTGCGCTTTGCAACGAAGCAACAAAACTCGCGCAGCGCCGCGTCCTGTTGCAAAAGCATGTGAAAAAAACTACAAAGTTTGCTAGGCCAAAAAGACCGCTAATCGCGCGATAAAATAATTAACGCCGTTAAAATAGGTTTGCGTTAACGCCGTTAATAACGCGTTTAACTGACAGCCTAGTTAAAAGCCATTATAATGACTGACGCTGTCTACACTGTCCAGATTAAACCGCGGGTGTGTGTCCGTACAGAGTTCAGAAGGGTTCCAGCATCGGGGACACGTGCATGGCTTATTTTAATGGCGTCCCGGATTAGTCGGATGATTATATGTTTGTTCGGAGCGTTTTATTTCGTAATCGAGGCACAGTGCGATGGAGAGTTCGCTAAACTAAATAAACTTTAGCCGAAAGATGAAGCATCACAAACCGTAATTCAATTATTTCATAATACTTTGTCTGTAAATGTTTTATATGGATAGTGTTTTCAGAACACTTACTCGCGTGAAACAGCGAGTGTGTGTTGATACTGTGTCCTGTGACGTTAGCCAATCATAACAGTGTCTGTTCACTGACAAGCCTTAAAGGAGCCGCACATTTAAAACGGATCATTTCAGACAGAAGGTCAGAATGAGGCTTGAAAATAATTGTTTTTCCACACACATATATATATTATTTTGTTTTTGTGCAAAAGACTTTATTAACATTATTAGTGACGTTTAAGGAACATTTTAAAGTAATACTAGCCTGGGAAAACCCAGACGACTTCCGGCAAATGTAGATTTGCTCTGAAAGTTAGTCTGGCAAAGAGCTCATTCAAGCCCATTTCCAATCCGCCGAAATCGAGGCACCAATCAGAAGCGTTGGGGCGGGCTTTACACGATGACGACAGCGCTGGGATTTTGAAGCAGATTTTGTAGCCTACATTACAAAGATGGATGCCACCGTCGAACATCACTCGTTCCAATCAGCTATCGCGTCTGTTTTAAGCCATTTGAACGTTTCCTTTTAGTTAAAAACCGAGCAAAGAACAACACTCGGAGATGTGTCTCCGCCGCTCTGCATACGTCATCTCCTTCATCGCTCTGATTGGGTGTAGCTCTATCCGCGACGTCCGTTGGTGACGCCCCTCTGGAAATGATTTGTCTATGACGCTTTGCCAGTTACAACTGAGAATGGTCTGCTTTTAACCAGGCTAAAGTAATACAAAAAAAACCTTTAAACTTCAGCACGTCCCTGGTTTGGTTCGTGAACAGTTTAGCGGCCAGAAGCAGGTGTAAATTACCGCTCTAAGCTAATGGGCGCTCATTAACACCAGTGCATTGTTAATTTGGCATGGCCAGTGCACTGATCATTACATACTTTACTGCAGAAAGCAGCTTGGCTCTGTGAAGTTGTAGAAATGATATCCTAATGAATCTTCAGTTACTGCCTGCTTAGAGATGCTGAGAGGAAGCGAATGAAGAACGAGAACAGGAATCACATCTCATAATTACTGGACGGTGTGGAGTTCATCACACATTAGCAGGGAAATCGGGAAATTACTAAAGCACTGCATGAACCCCATTAGCTACTGTAATCGATTATTTTCATGGCAGTGAATTCAAAACGGGACAGGATTTGAGGTCAAATATAATCTGTGGTATTTAGCTGGTGTTTGACCTCTGTCTTTCGCCTGTGGCTCGCTGTCAATAGAGCTGTCCTTGCCCAGATGGACAACAATCTTCTGCAAGTACAAATAGTCAGCTGTCAAAACAGATTTGTATCTGCGGCCCCAGGTTATAATTGATTTAAACAAGGCTTAAAGCAATTTATTACCTTTCAAAAAGAGATCCGACTTTATTAAATGTGCAGCTGTTTTACAGCGAATGTGATGTTATTGTGCTTCTCACATTTCACACCAAATTATCATCAAATGGAGATTCTTATAACAGTAATGCGATAGAATTATTAATTTATTTTAACCTATAAATCACCAAATTAAAGGCAACACAACAAATGCCTAATATTACTATGATGTGTAAATACTTTGCAATTTAAGCGGTTGTTTTTGAGAATTTAGGGGGGAAAGTGTTTCATTTTCATAAAATGTCACAAAATAAAAAATAAACTTTAAAAAAATCATTCTTTTTACCATGTTTTTACTTCATTTACATCCTTTTTATTAATAAAAAAAAAATGAGAAATTCAAAATTGCAAAAACCAGTGAGATGCAGAAAAATATATATTTTTAAACAACATTTACGCCATTTTATTTGAATATATAAACTTATAAGAACATATAATAAGAGAATTACCAGTATAATGGATTAAATTACATTTATTTGTATCTTACAACTCCTGACTGCTCAAAACAGTCTAAAATTATGAAAAATACATATTATTTTTCTAAGAATATTACTCTGAAATGTTTTCAAACTAAATATATTCATTTTACTTGCATAAACTTTTACTTTCATATCAGAAAAACAGCTTGAATCTCCTTTTCATGCTGCAATGGTTCATCAATAATAGGAGCAAAGTGAAACTTTTCCTTTTACAAACACAATTTAGACTATTTTGGTCTATGAATGCTTGCTCTACAAGCACATTAAGAGTGTATTTACATGACAACAATGCACTAAAAACAGACGATCCCCGTTCGTTCACGCATCTGCGAAATTTGATTAATATTTATTCATTATTATGCATGGCAGGCCAGTAGTTGGCCATGTCACTTTGTCAAGAAACACACCACACACACGTCATGACGTCATTGACGTTTTTGTTGTTTACATGGAGGCGGTAAAGGCTTTGTTTTCAAAAACTTGCACTTTGAAACCCATTTTCAAAAAAATCTTGAGTTTTCAGGCCGCCAAAACACAAATAAACGGCCAAAACACATAAAAACTTTTCCATTTTCAGTTGAAAACAATGTCGTGTAAACATCCCCTCAGACACTCATTTGTTAGTGTCATTTTATTTTAATTTCAGAATTATTCTGTATGTTTATGCACAAGCATGTTTATAAACTATAAAGGACAAAATGTGTGTGAGTGTAGGACAGAGGCTAAATGTAGGCTATTTTACACAATCAATTTGAGACAAATCTAACTTAAAAAATAGATGAACAAAAAAAAAAACGGACCCGAACGCAAAAGGCGTAACAATTCAGTTTAAATGGCTATATCTGGAAAAAAAAGAAGTGTATTTTGGCAGTCAAAAAAATAAATAATCAAACCGGACCCGAAGGCAATCCCAGTGTTTTAATTCACTGCCAAATGACCTATTTTTGAAAGTAAAACTTCCAGCTTTTGAAAAGCAGACCCAGAAGTCGTACGTCACGCTTTACACCTTAACTCTCAAAAACAAACTTTCCTTGTGTGCTTTGAACCGTTCCACAGCTAACCTTTTCAATCCCACCCTGAGATATCCCCTGGCCCGCACTGCAAACAAACAGGCTTCCCCGGAGGACGTCCCGGCTTTGAAGCGCGTGGTCATATCCACCGGAGATTATGTGGATTATGCGTGATGCACCTGAACAAACTCACCGTACTCGGCCCGCAGATGTTCAGGGATATGAGGTTCATAGCCCTCCTTCTCCGGCACGTCCACAAAATCCTCCTCGCTGTCCTCTCCATCCTCAGGAGCTCTCATCTAGCGCAGAAAACACACATTACCATCAATAACACTTCATAAAGATGCTACCAATGAGCATTTTTCCCTCGGTTTATGCTGTAAAAACTACTGTTGCAAAACACATCCAGTTTTCCCAGTGGTTCTCCAACAAACAGAGCTTGTGTGTGCTGACGGTGTGTAATTCTCCGTGGGCTGATTAACACTCAGATGGGACATCCACTGTGGCCTCAGGGTATAACACAGATTTACAGCACAAACTCTGCAGTAACGGCGGACATCTTAACATTTTAATTCAAAGCCTTAATAGAATTTCCACTCGACCACGTCCAATTCTTTTCTCTAGTGCTAGTCTATCTGAGTATTGTCCCAGCTTAACTGTGACTGTATAAAATAGTGCTGGTTATGTTAAATACGTTTTCCAGCATGCAAAGGAGACCGTAATAATGTGCTGATCACTGTAAAAAATGATTTTTTGTGGTGAAGTAAATACTGCTGAAAAAAAAAACATGTAATTTACATGAAAAAGTTAGTTCAGGCAAGAATTAAAAAAACTAAGTAAATTCCATATCGGTACTTAATTCAAGCGAGTAGAAATGAAAGCGTAAATATCAACTTAATAAAATTAAGTAAAAATTACTCAACTTTTCTGATACTGGGGTTCCCATCATGCACTGGACCTTGAATAATTAATGAGGTTGATTTTTCACTGGTTTCCAGCTGTATTTACACTGTTTTATGATTGCTTTTGTTGTTAGGATTATAGTAACTTACCATTTTGTGACATTTCGAGTAAAATCTGCTCAAAATGACACATTCAAACACAAAAACGATCCATCAAATGTTACCGTCATCAAGTATTGAGGTCTTTGCATTCACATGATGTTTAACATTTGACATGATGAAGTATAAATTACTTAGAAGTTAAAGCACATACTGGTATAATTCAATATTATTGTTTGAGTGAAATGTAATGCAAAGGAAATTTCAACTAAATTGATATTACTCAACCTTATACTAGCCAAGTTAAAATTTCTTATTTTCTTTGTTACTTTCACTTGACTAGGTTAAGTAAAGTTGACTTAATTCCATATTCCAAGTAAATTTAACTTAAATATTTCTAATTAAAGCTACTGATAATTATGTTTAGGTTTTTACTTGGCAAATCGTTGTAAATTTACTAGCATTTTCTGAGTGAAAAAAGTTGCCTAGCTTTTTTCAAGTAAATCCTCCTCCAAATTTTTTTCAGTGTGGGTTTCAGAGAGTGGGACAACCCCGAGTTAGCTAAATCTGCTGGTGGGTTCGCACTTGTACTGGTGTCTTAGTCTTAGGCTGAACTGTGTCTGATAACATCTTTCGCAGGCTGTTGTACAAAAGAGAGAGGGTGATGCGAGTGTGTGTTCACATCATGCGCTGACTTTAAGGAGATCAGCTCAACAGCAGGCACTAGATAAAGAGACCCAACCGGATCCAGACCAGAACTCATGCTTTCTCTCATCTTAAGTGTGTTATGGTCAAGCTAAGCTGAAAAGCTGAAAAGTCTTGTGCTTTGATAGAAAGTTAATGACAAAACTTATCATCCACTTTAACACTAAGTATGTGACAGATTTGATTTTACAAAATGTAAAAATATTTTTTGAGCAAATATTGTGTAAAATAAGCACTCTTTTAAAATATTCGGGGGCAAAAGTTTGGAATAAATACGATTTTTTTCAAGTTTCTGAAAGAAGTCTCTTCTGCCTTTTAGTCTCTCGGCTGCATTTATTTGGTCAAAGATACAGTAAAAATTCAGAAATATTATTATAATTTAAAACAGCTGTTTTCTATGTGAATATACAGTAAAGTGTAATTTATTCCTGTGATCAAAGCTGAATTTTCAGCATCATTACTCCAGTCTTCAGTGTCACATGATCCTTCAGAAATCACTCTAATATGAGGATCAAGAAACATTTAGGATTATTATCACTGTTGACAATGGTTGTGCTGCTTCAGATTGTTATGCAAATTCTACCATTCAAAAGTTTGGAGTAAGTAAGTAAAGTAAAATTAATACATTTATTCAACAAAGACGCATTAAATTGATTAAAGTGACATTTATACTGCTACAAAAGATCATGTGACACTGAAGACTGGAGTAATGATGCTTTGATCACAGGAATAAATGACATTTTACTATATATTCACATAGAAAACATCTGATTTACATTGTAATAATAATATTTCACACTTTTTGAGGAAATAAATTCAGCCTTTTTGAACATGACAGGCTTTTTTCAACAATTAAATAGTGAGTAAAACATTTATATCAGCATTATCCAAGTACTGGTATTTTTTTATTAGCATTTTAACACAAAAAAAACACTGTATTTGAGGTAGGCCTATCATTCGAGTGCATTCAACGCTGGACAGTTCAATACTCAGGGTTACTAACTCCAAGTATGTTCACTGAAAAAGAAGTGATGACTTAGCAAACACAACTAATTAAAGCTCTATAATCACAGTGTGTGTCTGTAAGTGGCGGAGAGGAATGTGTCTGGTGTCTTCAGGTGCGCTTCGCTCTCTCATCCATCACTCGCGCTGTAAGTTTTGTTATCACTCTAACACTAATCAAAAGAGAAAACTGTCACTGCCACTGACCTGTGGAACCTCCCAATTATGCTCTTGAAGAGTGACAGCGGCACTTAACTTCCACCGCCGGCTAAATGACCACCATCAATCCTCGCTGAATAGCAATGAGCCACCGGGCTGCAAATGATTTTTTTTTTTTTTTTTTTTTTTTTTAAGGAACAGAAATCCCCAGCCTGGAATTTATGAAAGGTGAAAAGCAACTCAAGGCTATTTTCCCCCTCCTCGCTCACACTCACAGGCCTGGGGAGAGACGGCACGACGTCTGCATTAGTGCTAAACACAATTTATGCCTTTTAATTTACCCAAAAGGTGCTTAAGCGGCCCGTGCGCTACAATGCAGAACAGAATGCCAGTTTTTAAATATGGGGGTCGTTGGGATAAAACGGTTTATATAATCTGTGTGCCCTTCCTTTTCCGAGGGCACTGCTTAAAGTCTAGCGTCCCCTTTCCATTTATTCTGTCTAATTGTCTCGGTGATGAGCTCAATATAAAGCACTAAACATTCTAGCTTGCTTTGCTTTTATTTTTCATTATTGCAGCCAGGCTATATGTTGACAATTGCAGATTGAGGTATAAACTGTCTTTGCATGAGGTCTCAATTACGTGCACTTCAGGAACCAGCGCGCCCTCTATAGTGAACACACACACACACACACACACACACACACACACACACACACACACACACACACACATCTTTGTGGGGACTCTCCATAGGCGTAATGGTTTTTATACTGTACAAACTGTATATTCTGTCCCCTTACACTAACCCTATCCCTAAACCTACCCATCACACACACACACACACACACACACACTAACCCGACCCCTAAACCTACCCATCACACACAACTTTCTGCATTTTTACATTTTCAAAAAACATTACTTAGCATGATTTATACGCTGTTTTCCTCATGGGGACCGCTGGCTGGTCCCCACAATGTAGGTGATTTCAGGTTTTACTATACTTGTGGGGTCATTTGGTCCCCACAATGTAATATAAACATGAACACACACACACACACAATGTTCAAGCCCTGTAGTCTCAATCTAAAAAAATGAATGCAATGAATAGTGATACTGTAAAGTCAACATAATATCAAAATTATTCCTTTGATGTGCAAGTTTATTTCTCATTTTGTATTAAAATAGAATACATTTTTTATGTGAATATCCTGTCTAGTGCTGTCAATCAATAAAAAAAAAACTGAATTAGATTAATAACACATTTTTTCCTGTGATTAATCGCAATTAAAAACACTTACGTTTTGTATATATTTTATAATGTAATAATTTCACGGCTATTCTCCAAATTAATGTAGAGATGACATAAAGATTTTAAAAACTTGTTTAATGGCATCTTTTTTATGAATGAAGGCCACTGATACTAATACAGCAGCTGATGTCTCACGAAAAACATTAATTATAGCCATTCAACATTACAATGTCATTAAGCTATCCATTTTTATTTATTTTTTTACATTTATTGGGCTTAAAAAGAGCATTTGCATGAGGAAGAGCGTGATCATATAATGTAACTCTAGCCAAAAAACGGATGTGTTAATTGTAATAAATATTTTTAACGCGTTAAACTGGAAAAGATTGGATGCGTTAACACGCTAACAGCACTAATCCTGTCTTCAGATTCAGGTTGATCAGTGTGTTCACTCACTGTTGTTGCATTTAAACATAAGGTTTTATTTCACTACACGGTTCTAGTATACTTGAGAGTTGAATTAGTTGCTTCCACATTGTATACAGTATTAACACATGTAAACAGCACTGCTAATGGCCCACAGAGTCCACAGGGAAGCAGAGGAACGGGACACCGCTTTAAAAAACAGAAAAGGGAAGGTGATATTCTACTTAAATTGAAACATTGATCAGTCTTTCTGCAACCTGCAGCTAATTACAATCTCTAAACATCAGTTCAATCTCAGCGAGACTGTTTTATGCCCGCTGGCCGCCAGATGAAGAACACACTGTTTATGCGTCGTCTTTATTTAACCCAATGCAGTTTCTTCCTTGATAGATTAAAGTACATCGCACAATGGAAATTGTAGCTGTTATGTTTAAATCACTTTAATTCTTTTGAGATAAAATCAGCATCGTCAACCTTGCGAAGGCAGTATTATAATTCTCGGACTGGAGTGTGTGGACGCTGGGAACGAGTGTGTTTATGCTGACGCAGGTGTTGCTGACATTTGAAGAAAACCACCTTTGCATTTAAAACACTCGTTCTCTCGGCTGGCACCGTGATCTGTGTGCGAGGACAGCCAGGTAAAGTAGCCCGGGGACGTCTAGGGAATGATACAAAACATTTAGAGAATATGATTCTTTCGCAGTTCGACGTCAGCGTAATGATTACACACTGAAGCATGCCAGGTCAAAAG